GCCTGTGAACCCTTTCATGCTGTAAAAATGCGGCACGGCACTCGAAGCTAACTCTTCTTCGTGCTAGAGACAGGATTCACCTCGTTCAGCCAGACTGTCGCTGTGCTGACCTCGGTGGCCGTCGCCAGAGGCTCGGCGGGCTCGCTTCGGCCCGCTGGCTGGCCGCCAGCTAAACAGGGCCTCGCTCGAGTTTAGGGTTTAGGGGTTAGGGGTTTAGGGGTTTAGGGGTTTAGGGGTTTAGGGTTTAGGGTTCAGAATCAACAATGTCTAATGTAGCGGGCCTTCATAATACTTAGAATAGGGTTTCATAGGGTTCCTTTGAAGGGATCCTTAAAGGGTTCTATAAAGGATCTATAATAAGGTTCTATATTAAGGGCCTTCTAATAATTAGACTAGGGTTTTGGGGACCTGGATAGTATAGGTATATAAAAAAGATCCTCCCAAAACTAGTACATGTAATTATTAAGGCCCCTATATTAACCGTTTTGGGTTTAGGGCTTAAGGGTTTGAGGGTTTAGGGGTTTAGCATTTAGGGCTTACGGGTTTATGGGTTTGAGTGTTTAGGGTCTAGGGCCTTGGCCTCATCCGTATAACTTAGGCCCGAAGCCGTCGTCACGGTAGGCGGTTGGGGTTTTACCTTATATCATGTCATAAGCCATAAAGGCCCCATAGTTGGGACTGATAAGTTGAAGAAGGCCAAACATAGTTCAGGTACCATTCGCCCTTGTCCATCCAAGGCTGAGAAGAGATACAATTTCGAGATCCAGACTGCATGTATGCATTCAGAGAATCATGGCTTAACTCTGGCCCACCCTAAACCCCAAGCCCCTAAACTCTACAAGGCATCCCTGAACCCTTTAACAAGCAAACCCTAAACCCTCAAACCCTAAACCCCTAAACCCTAAACTCTAAAACCCTAAACCCTGAGCTAAACCCGAATCCCTGAATTAAGGGACAATAGGAGGGACCCCTAGAACTAAACCCCTAATCCGAATAACCTATATAAATTATATAACCCTTATTTGCCCTTCTCTAGGCTATGAGTCACACTAGGGAGGGATCTAGAAGCTAATTCGGGTCTCGGGTCAATGCCAACTCTGGGCCATAACGTGGCTGAAAGCCAGCTAGGTGACTGGATGTTTAATATAGGGGCCTTAATAATCAAAATAAGGTTCCTTCAAAGGGTTCTTTCAAAAAAGGGCCCATAAGGAGCAGAAATGCTGCGAGGTTGCTCGCTTCCGTGACAGTTCAGCATAACGTTGGCGGGCTTGAGGTCGATATGGAGCAATTTAGCTTTGTCGTGGAGAGCCTCGCGGCGAACAGGTGCAGTCTGCGCAGACTTCACACCTGACTTTCGGGACCGACATCCTGAGTTGCAAACTGCGATTGCCGCAGTAAGCGGAAGAGTGCGAGCAGTCGTCGTCGTAGTAGTAATAGTAGTAGTAGTAGTAGTAGTAGTAGTAGCAGCACTAGTAGTAGTAGTAGTAGTAGTAGTAGTAGTAGTAGTTAGTGATAGTGGTAGTGGTAGTGGTAGTAGTAGTAGTAGTAGCAGTAGTAGAAAGAGTAGTAGTAGTAGTAGTAGTAGTAGTAGTAGTAGTGGTAGTAGCAGCAGGAGTAGTAGTAGTAGTAGTAGTAGTAGTAGTAGTAGTAGCAGTAGTAGTAATGGTGGTAGTAGTAGTAGTAGTAGTAGTAGTAGCAGTAGCAGTAGCAGTAGCAGTAGCAGTAGCAGTAGCAGTAGCAGTAGCAGTAGCAGTAGCAGTAGTAGTAGCAGTTGTTGTTGTTGTTGTCGTCGTTGTTGGTGTTGTTGTCGTTGCCGCTGCCGTTATCGTTGCCGTTGTTGTTGCTGCTGCTGCTGCTGCTGTTGTTGTTGCTGTTGTTGCAACAGTAGCTGCCGCTGTAGTAGTAGCAGTCGGCGTCCACGTCGTCGCCAACGTAGTCGTAGTCGTAGTAGTAGTAGTAGTAGTAGTAGTAGTAGCAGTAGTAGTAGTAGTAGTAGTAGTAGTAGTAGTAGTAGGCGCCCCCCCCTACCAACTACACTTGCTTAAAACCATCTTAAGAGCACATCCGTTTTACTCGGTATTTACAGCACTTTCGTCATGTACGATCATCATAAGAGGCCTCAAAATCCACTTGCCGAGTTTGCTAAC